GTTTTTGTGACAAATTAGGTTTGTAAATAATTTCATAATAGCACAGTTGGATCGTAGAGTAAAGCGAGGGGAAACAAATGTGACCATGTGCATATGCATCTGTTAGACCACTGGGCCTCCAGGCGAAAGCCAAAATAATGCAAACACAGAACTAGGAGTAAATACAAAGACATTAACTAAACGCAGACAGAACAGGTACTAAGTGAGCTAAACAGAACATGCAAATAAACAATGGAGTAAACAAGGCTAAACAGAGGAAACACAAGACAAGGAACAAAACCCCAAAACAGGAAACATGGAATCAACTGTTACAGAACAGGGCAGGGAACAGAGACAGCACCAGCCAGGAAACAGGACTACACTAAACATGGAACAGATCAGAAATAAGGAAGATTCCAAAACACTGAACGCAAACAAACAGATCATGGCCACATGACCAATAACATCAGGCAAAGGAAGCACACTAAGGCCCCATCTACACTGCTGCGTTTTTGAGACCTTTTGCCACGTTTGCACCGTCCACACTACAACGGCGAAACAAAGACCTAAAACGGAGAAGTTTGGAAACGCTGCTGACCCCGTTTTAGTGAAGACGGGCAAAAACGGAGGATTTTAGAAACGATGACGCCGACGCTCACGCGTGGCTCTCTGATTGGGTCTCATAACTCATGTAAAGCAGACACACGGTGCTACTGACAGAGTTTTTGACTTGGTATTTTTATTAAAATATTCTGTACCGTGCAAATAACACTTATCTGCCTACGCTTGTACTGTGCATGCCGCCGTTTACTTTGCGACGACTCCCAGTCTGTTTTCCGCTACCACAGTGTTACATTCAGTAACAGTCCCAGCTCGTTATTGGTACATGCAACAAAAAAAAATCTGGTCTGATTCTTCGTCTGTGTTTCTTTATTCTTTCGCCAGATCTTCTGTAACTACAGAATAGACCATCTGCTTCATGTTTACACCGGCACGCACATGCCCAGTGTACCCGAACGGACAACAGATATGCGTTTTCAGTCGTTTTAATGTAGACGGGGATCAACTTTAAAATGCTGGTGTGGACAGAGATCGTATTCATTTCAACTCTCCGCTTGTACCCTATCACAGAAGTGTGGATGGGGCCTAAGACAGCAGTCAGACAGGATTGTGACAATTTTCATTTTCAATTAAAATAAAATTTACATCTAAAAAAGTGTTTCATATTCAAAAAAAAAAGAGAAAACAAATGTCTCACCACCCACAGATAAGATAGATGGGGGGTGCGGGTAGACAAAGATGGTCAGCAGGTTTTCTGCTAAACATAAGGCAGTTTCCTGTCAAACAGGAGGTTAACACATTGAAACTTCAAACCACAGCAGAATGGGGGGAAACAATGACAGAGGTGTTGCTTTGTTCCTGCTGCCGTTTTATTTACTATAACCTATCACCTAGAACGCTGGAGAGAAAGTTTATAGACTGTGGACACATGCTATGCTCAACACCCTGTGGGGCCTGTTTAAGCTGTTAAAAGTGACATAAATAAGCGTACAGAAAGATGTCAGTGGACTAAATTTGTTTGATTTTTTTGTGTGTGTGATAACGCTGTTACGCTTCGATGACACAATGCAGAAAAAAAGGAAATGGTCATGATAACATAATAACAATATTTCATCTCTTCCCAGGAGAGTGATCAAAGGCTCACATTTGGGGCAGTTCTCAAAACGTTTTGCACCGGGTTGCAACATTTTCGGATTGAACAAAACGTTGCGCAGCGTTCTTCAACGGGCTTCGAGGTATGTTTTCTCCCATTTTGTGGGCGTGTCTCAAGGGTTACCCAATCAGCTGCGACAAGTTTGTAAACACAACAGTGTTAAAAAGGCAGGAAAATTCAGTGCGCTTGTGTACACAGCAGGGTGTTCAGGGAACCACCATTTCTGTTGAAAACAACGTTTTGCTATGTTTTGTCTGCGCTGAACTCATCCTTGGCCTCATGACTGTCATTCAGACTTGGCCTCAGGTGTATCCAAAGACAGTTACAATATATAAAAATTGTAACAGGATTAAGTTTACAATCTGTGCTTCCATGGGAGCTGCCGTTGTTGTGTGACGTCATTCGGCTGCTACTCGTGAAGTCGGGGTACATATTTTTTCTCCGAGTTCACAAGTTGGAAATCTGATTCAAGTGGCCTTCCATGGTACTTTTCTAGTTGGAGGTTGGAAATTTTCCAGTTCCTAGTTGCCTGGAATGCAGCATGAATACCTCATGTCCACCACCTGGTCTTGGTCCCGCCCTGCCTGTTACTGGTGTTTATGTTTGCTTGTTCTGTTCATTCTCTGTTGGGTCATTGTAGCTGCTATTTGCTCTGTCTCCCATGTTTAGTGTGTTGGTTCCAATTCTGTGTTCCTGCCTCTAAGTCTGCCTGCTTGCCCTCCAGGATCTAACCCTGTTTCTTTGGAGACTTGTGACTTGTTTGTTTGGAGACTTTGTTTCTTTAAGGTGAAGTCCAAACAGAATACTTCACCTCTGTCTTTGTGATTTGTGTGGACTCAGCTATTCTTAGTAAGGCTGCTCACTTTTTGATCAATAAATTTCAAGAACTGAACCTGCCTGTTCCAGTGTCTGCATTTTGGGCCCTACCAAGTGAATTGTGAAGATTGGTATCTATTGGTATGCACGATCTAAGCAGCTTAGAAGTAGCTCAAGCAGGTAGTTGACCCGTTGGGCCTGTTGGCAAGAGGTTTCACACATCCAAAGAACTTCTATAAAAACCAGACCAGGCTTCTAATTGAGACCTGCGTTTATTTGTCAAAACATGTAGACCTGTAAAAGGGAGTGGCGTCTAATTAGGACTAGACTTTTATTTTACGTTTGACTGTATGTGTTAATTAGCAAACATTTTGCTTTCAACCTGTCCTCCCAGGAAAACAGCTAGATCAATTATTCAGCAGCATATTACGACGCATATTTACGTTTGTGATGGCAATTCAAATAAATAGCTCAGGCAAACACTTGTCTTTCTGTGAATTTTTATTGAAGTCTTCTGCAGAAGGACTCACTGCAACACACATACACCATATACATTCAATTCAATTCAATTCAATTCAATTTTATTTATATAGCGCCAAATCACAACAACAGTTATCTCACAGCGCTTTTCATAAAAGAGCAGGTCTAGACCGTACTCTGTGATGATATTTACAGAAGCCCAACAGTTCCCACCAAGAGCAAGCACTAGGCGACAGAGGCAAGGAAAAACTTCCTTTTAAGAGGCAGAAACCTCGAGCAGAACCATGGCTCAGGGTGGGCGGCCATCTGCCTCGACCGGTTGGGGTGAGAGAGAGAGAGAGAGAAAGAGAGAGAGAAGAGAGTGAAAGAGAGAGAGAGAGAGAAAGAGAGAGAGAGAGAGAGAGAGAGAGAGGGATGTAAGGAGAGAGAGAGGGGAGGGAGGCAGCCTACACAATATACACACAGAGGTACAGACAGCGAAGGTAATGTTGCTATAAACTAAATGAAAAATGGTACAGATATTTATAATAGTGTTAATGGTAACCATCATAATGTTAATGATTATAATAACAATAAGACCAGCGACAACAGTCGCTGCAGTAGAGGGTGTCGAGCAGGAACACAGGGGCAGCAGGCGACCCGCAGCCACAGATCCAGACTCCACAGCTCCAGAGCCAGAAAACCTGCAGGAAGTGATAGGAGGAGAGAGGAGAGGGACGAGAAAGCACAAGGCTACCAGAAAGGGGAGAAGTTGTGTTAGTAACATGCAATAATGGGATAAGGTTGCATACAGAGGGAGAGAAAGTAGAGGAGAGAGGAGCTCAGTGCATCATGGGAAAGTCCCCGGCAGTCTAGGCCTATAGCAGCATAACTAAGGGATGGTTCAGGACTACCTGAGCCAGCCCTAACTATAAGCTTTATCAAAGAGGAAAGTCTTAAGCCTACTCTTAAATGTGGAGATGGTGTCTGCCTCCTGAACCCAAACTGGAACCTGGTTCCACAGGAGAGGAGCTTGATAGCTGAACGCTCTGGCTCCTAGTCTACTTTTGGAGACTCTAGGAACCACAAGTAACCCTGCATTCTGGGAGCGCAGTGCTCTGGTGGGGTAGTAAGGTACTATGAGCTCTTTAAGATAAGATGGTGCCTGACCATTAAGAGCTTTGTAGGTAAGAAGAATGATTTTAAATTCTATTCTGGATTTTACTGGAAGCCAATGCAAAGAAGCTAAAACAGGAGAAATGTGATCTCTTTTCCTGGTTCCTGTCAGAACACGTGCTGCAGCATTCTGGATCAGCTGAAGAGTCTTAATGGACTTTTTCGAGCAGCCTGATAATAAGGAATTGCAGTAATCCAGCCTAGAAGTAACAAATGCATGGACTAGTTTTTCTGCATCATTTTTAGACAGGATGTTCCTGATTTTCGCAATATTACGTAGGTGAAAAAAGGCGGTCCTTGAAATTTGCTTAATGTGGGACTTAAACGACATGTCCTGATCAAAGATAACTCCAAGATTCCTCACAGTGGTGCTGGAGGCCAAGGCGATGCCATCCAGGGAAACTATATCTTTAGATAATGCGTCACGGAGGTGCTTAGGCCCCAGAACAATAACTTCAGTTTTATCTGAGTTTAACATAAGAAAATTACAGCTCATCCAGGTTTTAACATCCTGAAGGCACATTTGAAGTTTAGCTAACTGATGAGTTTCATCTGGCTTGATCGATAGATATAACTGAGTATCATCTGCATAACAATGAAAGCTTATGGAATGTTTCCTGATAATATTGCCTAAAGGAAGCATATATAAAGTGAAGAGGATTGGTCCAAGGACAGATCCTTGAGGAACTCCATGAGTAACTTTGGCGTGCATGGAGGACTCATCGTTAACATGTACAAACTGAAATCGATCTGATAAATAGGACTTAAACCAGCTTAGAGCGGTTCCTTTAATGCCAATGAAATATTCCAGTCTCTGCAATAGGATCTGATGGTCAATGGTATCAAATGCAGCACTAAGATCTAATAAAACCAGTACAGAGACAAGTCCTTTGTCTGATGCAATAAGGAGGTCATTAGTAATTTTCACCAGTGCTGTCTCTGTGCTATGATGAGCTCTAAATCCTGACTGAAAATCCTCAAATAAACTATTGCTCTGTAGAAAGTCACACAGCTGTTTAGCAACTGCTTTCTCCAGAACCTTAGAGAGAAATGGAAGGTTAGATATAGGTCTATAGTTTGATAAAACATCCGGATCAAGTTTGGGCTTTTTCAGAAGAGGTTTAATTACAGCTACTTTAAAGTACTGTGGTACATAGCCTGTTGATAAAGATAGATTGATCATATCTAGTATAGAGGTGCTGACTAAGGGTAAAACATCTTTAAGCAGCCTAGTCGGGATGGGGTCTAAGAGGCAGGTTGATGGTTTAGATGAAGAAATTATTGAAGTTAGTTGGTAAAGATTGAGGGAAGCAAAACAGTCTAAACATGTATCTGGTTCTACAGCTGTTTCTAAGGTTCCTGAGTTTAGAGATAAGTCGGTGCCAGTTGAGGGCAGGTCTTGGTGAATTTTGTCTCTAATAGCTAGAATTTTATCATTAAAGAAGCTCATGAAGTCGTAACTACTGAGAGCTATGGGAATACTTGGCTCAATAGAGCTGTGACTCTCTGTCAGCCTGGCTACAGTGCTGAAAAGAAACCTGGGGTTGTTCCTATTTTCCTCTATTAATGACGAGTAGTACGCTGCTCTGGCATTACGGAGGGCCTTCCTATAAGTTTTAAGACTATCTTGCCAAATTAAACGAGAATTTTCCACTTTGGTGGAACGCCAATTCCTCTCAAGTTTCCGTGATATTTGCTTTAATTTGCGAGTTTCAGTATTATACCATGGAGCTAACCGTCTTTGTTTTAGTATTTTCTTTTTTAGAGGGGCTACAGAGTCGAGTGTCATTCGCAGCGAGCCAGCAGCACTATCAACAAGATGATCGAAAAGATGATCATACATGTATGCTCGAATGAGTGAGGACAGCTGAGTGAGCCTGTTATTTAGCCAGCTTTACAGAGAGACAGGTTGTCCCCAAAGTCTGGATAACAAAGAGAACAGAGATATTTGGACTGTTACGTTTACACAGATTCAGTGCCACATCACACATTAGTCTCCCTGAGTCCAGGGTTACATGCAATATGTTTGGAATTCCCATTACACATTTTTAGTTAGGCTGCGACTTAGAGGCAAAAGAAGTCAGGGGATGTAGTATAAACAGCGAGAAAGTGGATGTGTCAGAGGTGGTGGATGTGTCAAGTAAATGTCTGGCTGGGACCCAGCTTAGTTTTATTGTATATGTAATTAAAATCAATGTTAACTAATTACATGTTAACAACAATAACTGACCACTTGATCACCACAAATAGGCATATGCTGACAAGCATGTTGACCTCGTAACATTATGCAGCAGAAAGGGTCCTTTGTGTTGCTGTGGTCTCCACGTGTTTATGTCATGTGATGTAGGTCAGGGCACAAATTTAGGCCACGCTCATATGGGTCGTATTGTGAGTCATTGGCTATGTGGTCATTTAGGTTGGAGGACTTGTGGCCACTTAGCTATTACGCCAATCTTAAATGAAACCTTGTGACAGAGAGCATTGGAAAATCCCTGACACAACATTTTACTCAGTTTAACTTATTTCTCTTTTAAGTTAATTCTTTTAATCTTGTTGTTTTTCACACCTTGGGCGCCTGTACTTCCTGTTAAAACAGTAAGCGCTTCAACCCGACCAGCGACCAGCCACCCAAAAGCCTCAGTTAGTTTCAGACTTTTTTATAACAGGTGTGAAACAACAAAGACATTCAGTTGTTAATTTTCCATGTCAGCAAAACACAAACTCAGACATAAACTTAAAAAAAAACTAAAACAGAATAAACTGAATCACAGGGAATCAGGTCAAACATAAATATAATGTTCAGAAAGACAACTGCAAGTACCGTCTACAGAATGACAGTATAAATAAAAATGAAATTAAACAGCAGAAACTGGAATGTTTTCTTCTTTATGCTGAGTCAGATGTGAAGATGCTCCTCCCTCTTAGATGTCAATGGAGTCTATGCAGCAATTTCTATTATGACATCATTAGACATTCGCCTTGCTTTACTGGCATGTTGCGCTGTAAAAAACGTTCAAAAACAGAAAATGGGCTTAAAAGGGACATTCTTGTAATTTCTGTTTTGACACATTATGCTTTTTCGTCTTTTACCTTGTCGTCTACAACTTTTTGTTAGTCTAGTTTAACTCTAGTTTCTCTAAAGGACATAGTAATTTTTCTCATGTCTGATGATCTATAAATTAATAATTTGATATTTGGGGAAATGGCTAGCCTGGCTCTGTCCAAAAGTAACCAACTCTGCCTACAAACATCTCTCAAACTTGGGGGCCACCAAACCCTTTTTTACTGGGGCACAGCACAACAATTTTGGGGCACATACAGAATAATGGTCAAGAAGCCTTGGTGTTGCTTTTTAACACCCTTGTACTCTTTTTGTTGTTTTTGCAAGTGTAGGGCAGAAACAAGTTTGCAAAAATAAATACGCAATGTCCGGTTCGACTTTCAAAATAAATCTACTGGTTAACATAGTGAAACGTTGCAATTTGGTTAGGTTCAGGAGAACTTCAGGGTTTGGGTTAAAATAACTACGTCACTTAACTGTGTGTAACATATGGACATGCTTATGAGGTTCACCAAAAACATCCATTTTTTGATTGTTAGATCTTTTATGTTTAGGATTTTATTCCACAGCCTGTATTCTTTACAAGTATTTGTGTGTACATGTGGTCGCGTGGCGATGTAGGTATGTGTGTGCATGCTCTGGTAAAAGCCCTTTCTGGACCAGTAACTTCTTGAGTTTTTTTGTTAGCATGAAAGTTGCCCAAGTTAAAAGTTGCCCAACAGCATTTTGTGGATTTAAAATGTGATTTTGAGACTTCTTTATTTCCTTTACCTTCTGGTTTGGTAAATGCAACATAGCCTCCTACAAAGTAGATGTGGCTCAGCTGTATTTTTTTAGTCGTACATCTCTTGGAACTAAAACACCAGATTCAGCAATCGGACCTTGAGCTTTTATTCTCACCTTTGACTCTGTCTCTGTATATGAGTCCCAGTATGATGGTGGACAGAAGGTAAGGAGTTCCCACCACCAGGTGACGCACCAGTGGCAGCTGGAAAGCTGGAGTATCCTGGCCTGCAGGCGGCGCTGCAGCAAGAGAGACTTAAGTGAAAGAGTTCATTGCTGGTTTGCTAATTCACAGCCTGTCTAAGTCAGTCTGAGCCGACATGATCATTCTTCTGGAGTTGTGTTTATGTCACTTGATTTAAGTCCAATATTCTCTCTCTTTTAGCACTCTTTTTGGTCTTCACCACCTCTTGAGGGAAATATCTGGCTCTAAGCTGCTAAATGCTCGTCACTTACTGTTTGCTGATGAGCAGTTAGTATACGGTGGGCTTTTAAAGCTTTATGAGAGCACTGATAGTAAACCAGAACAGCAAAGTTGCAGTCGGGCAATGAGCTAAAACTTACTATAAAGCAGAGGGGAGCTGCAGATTCAGGTGATAACTCTCTGTAGGTTCATCACTACCCTTTTTTATATTATCACATTTAATAAAAAAATCTCAGTCATAGCTGCTTTAAGATCCTTGTTTCTACAGAACAACGTGGACACTTTATAGTAAAGTACACTGATGATGTGGTTCTTTTCAATACAGACAACGCTGAATATTTGAAAGCTGCTGTTGTCACCAGAAACCTTCCTCACCTCTGACAACCAGCCAGCTCTCTGGTGATATTTCAGACCGGTTACATTTGTAGAGCCCTTCATCAGACCTGGAAACACTGTAGAGGGTCAAGTTTCCTGTGGCGCTCATCCCGATGTGGAGGCCATCTTTATAGAAATCAGCTGAGGGGTCGTAATCAGGCGTGATTTTACTTCTGCAGCTCAGAGTGACATCTTCTCCCTCCATCACAGGATGGACTGGACTCTCCAGGATCACAGAGCCAGCTGAGTGAGACAAGCAGAGAGACACTATACATCACACATCATGAGCTGATCCTGTGTTTGTATAGAGAGCCTAAGTCCCTCCCCTTCCAGCAGACCACCATGGGACCTTACTTTGGGAAAAATATGTATGGTAGTTAATGGCAAGAGACAACAAATTTTTGATCCCGTTTCAATTGTGCTCTGAATTACACATACGATGATGGTCAAATTAAAGTATACATTTCAAAGTCAAGAAAGTTGCAGTTAGATGTAAAACTGTTGAAGTATAATACATAATTACAAAGACCACAAACCCAAAACTCGCATTTGTGACTTTTCAATGACTGAAGCTAACATCAAAAAACTTACATGACTGGATGATGTGATAAAAGGATCAGGAGTCGTTGGATTAAACACATTAGGTGAGATATATTTCTGCGTGGAACATAGCTAAGTTATCTAATTAGCAGAAACCTAGCAATAAACGTAAAATAGCATTACTACTTATTGTACGAGAGGAGACATGTAGTTCATTGAACAGGTTTTATCAATTTGAACTATTCAAACAGGATCAAAAAATAAGTTGTCTCCTGTCATTGACTACCGTACATATTTTATCTGTACATATTATATATTTCCGTACATAGGTCCCATAGGCCGGAAGCGAGTGACTTAGACTCTCTATTCAAATCTGATGGATCAGTCACTGTTATACTTTTTATCATTCAGGGCAGTAGTAACTTTCCTACCTGTGTAAAACCTTCAAATTAAGTAGACTTTTTAGTCTAGTGGTTCCCATGGCAATAAACGCACCAAGGTTGCAAATATATTTTCAAAGCTGGAATTTTATTATTTTTTTAATGAGCATTGGGTACAGTTTGCTAAACAGGTAGGCCCACACAAAAAAGGAAAAGTAAACATGACAGATGTTGAACTTATTTTAACTCAAATCTATTTAAATTCCAAGATACTGGGTATGATGAGCACAAGATTAAAGACATTCTTGGTGCCATATTGTAACACTCACTATACTCATGAAACTGAGAAATTGTGTGTATTATGACTGCAACTACATATTATTTAATTTGTGATTAATCTGTGGATTCTTTTTGCCTTTAAAATATCCGACAGTAGTTAAAAACGTCTCACATCAGCTCAGGAAAACATTATAAAATGTATTGTTTTGTCCAACCAACAGTCCCAAACCCAAAATATCTCCCGAAAATCTTCACATTTGAAGAGCTGTAACTAAAGACTGTTTAACATTTTTGCTTGATAAATTACTCTATGACAAATAATTGATTATCAAAATTGTTTTCCATTGAATTTCTGTCTATTAATTTGAAAGTAAATGACCGTGACTGACAAATTGTTTTATCAGTGCCAGGGTTGACCTATAATCAAACAGCAATGCCGATCAGTATTTTAAGGTGCCTGACTAAGTTATAGTCTACCAGTGACGGTGATGTTGACAGGGTCACTGGTTTCTCCCAGTCCAGTTTTACACCAGTACTGTCCGGTATCTGTGGTAGGGAAGGCTGCAATGATGGAGCAGGAGGATGGATATTGATGCACCTGCAGGGGAACAGACCAGAGGGAATTCTGGGTTTCTTTTGGCATGCATTCTTGCAACAAAAAACCCCATATGTATCAAGTAGACTAGGTTTTTCCACACAAACCTCTCTGTCCTCTGTCATCTTCATAACGCTCCATTTAGTCGTCTGCTCCTCTTCCTCACAGCTCACAGAGAAATGATCAAATTTAAAGAACTGGGATCTCTCAGGTGTGACTGTCAGAGAAACTGTAGGAGGGATGGAAGGATTAAGGAAGTAATTACTTGCAATGAGATTAAATTTCCCACACAATTTAACATGTATTGACGTCATCATACCTTTAGCAGAACCAGAATCCAGACAATTCAGCACTAAATCAGAGAGAGGAAAATACAGGCAGTATAAATCTGTGCTTTACATGTATACATAAATAAATATGTACCAGTGGCCTATTTTTCCTCCACTTCTATCCTTTTGTTAATATGATGATAAAACTAAATGGTGGGGAGCAAAGTTCAGAATGGTCTAATAAAAACTGCATTTAAAAGGATGCAAAAGACAACAAGCTAACAAGGATCTGACGTGTATCTGAACTCACTGACATTAAGAAGAGGCACAAATCATTCAGTGATGAAATGTGGAAAAACAAACACAGCCGTTAAAAAGTAACTACAGTAAAAAAATAAAACAATGAATACCTTTATTGAAAAAGGAAAACAATAGACGTTACTCACAGAGAAGCAGAGAGAGAGCAGCCACCTCCATCCTGACCTGCAACAGACTGAGAGAGAGAGAAAGAGAGAGAGAGCAAAAGAGAAAGAGGTGGAAGCCCTGCAACCTGTGCAGAGAGAGAGTACTGGACTTACACTTACAAGTACAATTTGGAGGTATGTTACGTGAGGATTTCCAGTTTATGCAAGCAGTCATCAGCTTCACCTTTACCAGGTGATGAACACATCAATTCATCACTATTAAAATCCAATAATATAATACGCCTAATTGAAGTACATTTTGATGTTAATACTTTTGTACATGTACAAACAGACAGACAGACAGACAGACAGACAGACAAGTAGTTATTCATCATTTCCACTTTTCCCTCCCCAATTATATCTCCTACTTTTATGTTAAAGTAATTAAATACTGGTGATTACTGGTCCTTTTCAGGGTTCCCAAACATACAGACACATGTAAATGCTCTAAAGTTTCACAGAATATGCAACACTTTGTGTCCCAAACTAATAATTAATCTGAAGGTTTGCTTTGTTTGGTACAGTACGTTATTGGTGGTTTGTTTTTTCGCCTTTCTCGCGACACCTTGTGGTTCAACGTGAGCACGGCAGCCGAGAGGACAGGCAGCTCTCGCGATACTTGTTCCCTCCAGGATTTCCAGTCAAAACGAACCTGACAGCGGTCGGAAAAGTTGCTTTTGATCCCAGAAACCTGCTTTTTGTGCTGGTAAGATGCAGATATACTTTTGTTCGGGTTCAAATGTTAGATTCTGTACACTTTATGTCATATAAAGCTGATCTATCAAGTTTAAGGGTACTCATTTGAAGGTTTTCCCTGTGTCAACAAACCAACGTTACCGGTTGGGAGGTTAACTTAACGTTGGAAGATAAAACTAGCTGTTAGGCTAATAAAAACTTTAACGTTAACTTTACGGTGTTTAATTACTTTTATTTAGGTTTAAATTAAGCTAGTTGTTTGATACTGTATCTTATTAACTTGTTTGACTTTATTTAATGTTCATATGTTTGTTTTGTAGCTTCGTATTTAAATTTGTCAGCCATTAGAAACCATCACCAGCTTTTTATTTTGAAACGATTCAATATTTCAATCATTTTTGAATAAACACAGAATATATGAGATGATAGTGACCAAATATCCAGTACGTGTCATTTTCCACATGTCCATAATACTGTGATATATTTAAGTTATACTTTTCTGTGTATTTGTGTTGACAGTGATGAAGATCAGACCCTGATGATGAAGATGGAGAAGGGGAGAGCAGACAGTTGATGTGTTCTGAGGAGGAGGAAGACGATGAGGATGAACCACAGCCAGCTGTTGTTTCTGTCCAGAGAAGAAACATCTGGAAACTTCCAGAAAGAAGGGACACTGCGAGTCGGACGGCAGGAGAGAGGTCAGCCGGGTTCTGTTAAACATCTCTTCTCTTTTGATCTTCTGAGTTCTCTTGTTCTCTTTTCTGTTCTCCTCTGGTCTCTTACGTTCTGTTTCGTTCTACTTTGTACTCGCTTTTGTTCTTTTTCATTCTTGTTCTTTTCGATTTTCCTCTGTTCTTTTGTTCTGTTCTATTATCTTGTGTTCTCCTGTGTTCTCTCTGACCCCTCCCTCTCAGTGGTCTGAGGACAGCTGTCTTGCTCCTTGGCAGTCGTCTCCGTCTATTTCCGTCCCCCTGACTCAGTCTGACTTTACTTCCTGCACACGTCTGTGTGTCCAACAGCTTCTGGGTGTGGTTCCACATTTTAACAGAATATAAAGCTGCATCTCTCTCAGCAGTATAGATGTTCTCTTAGATGTCTGTCTTTGTGTTCTGCGCTCTAACAACCCTCCTCTGCCTCAGCGCTCACTGACAGGTTTTGTCGGCTGAGAGGAAACCTACTGTTCATCCTGAAGACACAGGTGAGAGAGACAGACAGAGCATGTTCTGTGTTCTAGTTCTTTAATCTGGACGTTAGAGAAATATGTATGTGTGTGTGTGCAGGGCGGTAAGCTAGAGGAGGTGCTGCTGTTGGAGAGATGTGAGGTCATGAAGCTTCCAGACCATGACAGACGACTGGCCGTCAGTAAGTAACACTCATCTTTTTACATATAGATAGCCTAAGGCCCCGTCCACACTACTCAGTTTTAGTTTAAAAACAGAGTTTTAAAACGAATACGATCTCCGTCCACACCAGCGTTTTAGCTGCGTATCAGAGTTGATCTAAACGGCCCGTTCACGTACACAGGGCATGTGCGTGCCGGTGTAAACATGAAGCAGATGGTCTATTCTGTAGTTACAGAAGATTTTGCAAAAGAATAAAGTAATGCAGAGAAGAATCAGACCTTTTTTTTTTTTTTGCATGGACCATGAAGGAGCTGGGACTGTTACTTAAAGTTACTTGAAAGCGGCTGTGGCGGCGCAAACAGACTGGGAATCGTTGCAAAGTAAACGCGACATGCAGAGTAAAGTGTAGGCTGTTAGTGTTATTTGCTCTATACAAAATATTTTAATAAAAATACTAATCAAGCATCCTGTTTCTGCTTTGCATGACTTATAAGACCCAATCAGAGAGCCCAACGTAAGTGTCTGCGTCATGGTTTCTTAAGTCCTCCGTTTTTGACTGTCCGGGCTAACTCTCCAGAGTTGTTTTAGGTCTTCATTTTCGCCGTTTTAGTCTGGACGGGAGGTGCAAACGTAGCAAAAGGTCTCCATTTTAAAACAAAAACGTAGTAGTGTGGATGGGGTCCCTACCTTCAACTTCAGCCCCATGGGACCTTATTTCGGAAGAAAATATGATTGATGTTTGGTATTTGTAGTTGCTAGATGTTTGGCAATTTAAAACATTATTTTGTGAGTAAAGAAAAGTTTTACGTAAAACAGTAAAGTAACATTTAGTTTTGTGTGAAACCGCTGAATGATCTACATCTTACGTCTCGCACAATACATGTCACCAACATGTTAGCGCTGTAATGCTAAGCTAACATTCATTGCTTGGTTGCTACTAGCTAGGTAACGTAGCTATGTTCCACGCACAAATGTATCTCACCTGATGTGTTTAATCCAACAACTCCTGGTCCTTTCATCACATCATCTACACATGGAAGATCTTTGACGTCCCATTGTGGTCCACGGGAAGTGGAGGGACCTTGGCTCTCTATACAGCCATGTTAGATTATTGTCACAGCCGCTAAGTGAAAGCAGTGAAAAATATATGTGTGTGTGTTTAGGCTTTGAGAGTGGCGACCCTCCCGTGTTCCTAGAGTCCAGTAGCACCGCAGAGTGCGCGTCGTGGCTCGTCCTCCTGAGAGACGCCAACACTGAGACGCTGAGGCGACGCATCGCACAGCTCTGCACGCTCATCAGCACGCACACCGCCACCACTCTGCACACGCAAGAACACAGTGCACACTTCACCGGGGGCGGCGATGCTGGAGGTGCAGGTGAGCATGCCTGTGTTTAATATTTAGAAACATATTACTGTTGAAGTACCCATACGCATTAATGTAACGTAGTAATTAGGGCTGGGCGATATGGCCTAAAAATAAAATCTCCGATTTTATTTACTTTAATTCAATTTACGATTTTTTCCGATTTCCCCCCCTACTTAAGGAAAGCAATAAGGTTTGTTGGTCAGTGCGGCTTTGTTCATCGCGGAGAGACTGGCATTTTTCATATTCGGCTGGATGTCTCTGTTTCAGGTGTTGGAATAGGTTTGTGGTGCTGCTGCCTTTCACTGCGATAGGCTTTAGGCAAATGTTGCAGCGTGGTGTCTGTTGTTCCACATCTGTCGCAGCAAACCCATACCAGTTCCAAACAACAGATGACTTTATTCCTTTCTTGGGAACAAACTTCCCGCTCTCACCGGTAGCCATTTTGTCGCTTGCTGTTGCTGTTTAGTGTATGATGTTGTCGCTATGGGAAACGAACACTACGGAAACCCCGGGGAGCCAAAAATGTGCTATTACACAAAAACTCGATTTACTTATTTTTTAAATCGCCCGCAACAAAAAATTCGAATTAATTCATTCAATCGATTTTTCGCCCAGGCCTAGTAGTAATTGCAGGAATGTTGAGATTTTCATGGTACGATAGCAAGGTTTCAGTGTATTACACAGTTATTATTATTGTCAGTTACAATGACACTTAAATTAATTAAAACAAAAGTGAATTCTTTATTACAATGTCAGAAAATATTATTTTTTAAAGTGTCCCTTTTGAAAATAAATAAAAATCTTTGCAGGTCAGATATGATAACCGTCAATAGTCATACAGTGGTATACCGTTTCTTGTACATACATTGGGTGCCAGTCGTGGGTTTCGCACAGGATGTACATAATGCTCCAGTGTCACACATACAACCTCAAACAAACATGATCCATTATGTTTGAGAAAAACACAAACAGAAATCAGTTTTGGTTTCTATCAAGCAAATGTATCACCAGGAAACATTATAAATAAAACCGGGCGTGGTCCACCGAAACATAAACAAAGTACTCTGTCCTCTGTGGATATTTACACTTATGTTTCTTTTCTCAGTCCAACAAAAAGTGTTCAGCAAGAGCTCACCGAAACACAGCTGAACAAGGTAGATCCGTTCAAAACGTGTGAATAAAGCGTTTCATTCAGTTTGTATGTCGTGTCCATTTATAACGTCTTGTTCCTGCCATGGTGGCGTCTGTAAATTTGTAACGTTGGACCGAAGGTTTTAATCTGGCCCGACTGTGCTCATCTATTACAGGTAAACTTGCTTTCCGGAGAACTGAACTTCCCTTCCAATTACTCAGATCCCTGGCACTGTCGCTCTGTTGGCAAAAGCCAACCTCACCTAAATCAACCTTGCAGCCGTTGCTGCAGTTGCGTTCACGGCTCCGATAGAACATAGTTTTTCTCAGTAAGGACAGATGATGGGACGTCAGATTGTCACACCGTGAAACCGATGTGACGCTGCGGCAATTCACATCTATAAGAGACTTTACAAAAACATCATTCTGTGTGTTTACCTGCAGATCCTAACTTCAAATATTTACTGAAAACATTAGTGCTTTCATTGAAAGACTTGTCGTTTAGTTTGATGTGATTGATGAGGAGGAGGCGACAAATACCACCCGACAGGCAAACTAAAGGTTCAGTCTGTGGTGTCTTCAATGTGTCATGATGTAATGTTGTTTCTTGGCCACAAGGTGGAGTGGAAGCTGCTGCTAAAGTGTCTCCGCTGCACCTGACTGTAGGTATGTGACACACACACAGAGCACAGAATTACTGCTTTCATTTTATATTCTGTTAAATAGCGTGTTTCTTCATATATTTATATCATAGTTTTATACACAGACACGTTACAATATCACCATCCTCTCTCTCTCTCTCTCTCTCTCTCTCTCTCTCTCTCTCTCTCTCTCTCTCTCTCTCAGAGTGTCGAATTGTGGTTTCCGTGGCAGCCAGAGTCCAGCTACAAGTTTGTGTGATCGACACTCACACTCACACAGTCAGGAAGCACTGCTGCTGTCAGATAGTGGAGGTACACACCCACACACCCACACACACACATGCGCACACACAAACAGGAGGTATTGAAATTTAAAAGTGTGTGTGTGTGTGTGTTTCAGGGACTGGATGACAGTGTGTTTCTAACATCAGTGTGTTTCTGTGGTGACTACCCACTCTACCATCACAGCAGGATCAAACTCACCGTTTCCCATGCAGAGGAGCCGACAGCACATGCCACTGTGAGTGTATGTGTGTAGTTGTGTCTGAAAAATTGTGTGTATAAGAGGATTAGTGCAAAGGATGTGCAAATGTGCAACACACACACACACACACACACACACACACACACTCTCTGAATTCGGTTAATCTCGCTCAGTCACTCACACACACACGAGAGAGAGAGAGAGAGTGAGAGTAAAACGAGGGCAGTCACAGCGGGAAAGTGAGATTTTAGATAAACAGATTTTTTCCGTTTTCGGCTGTTTTCTGATTCTCTGTTTCTGACAAACTCAACCCTGACCAGTCCGCTGGGCGCTTCAGTAATCTGCATATTTCCCATGATGCTGGTGTGTTTGTAATCCTGTCGGCCATGACGAAAAAGGAGGAGGAGGAGGAGGAGGAGAAAAAGGTGATGGAGGGAGCAGGGAGATACTCGGCCGGTGTGTTTTAGTGTGTTCTTACGAAGGCGAGGACAGAAACAGGATTTTCAGATCGTTTTTTTGGATTATTATATCCGGATGCCTCCTTTTCCTGTTTTAGTGGATGCTCTCGCTCTTCTTCATCTCTCTTTTTCTTTATGTCTGTAAATCCATCATGTAGCAGGAAGAGAACAAGAGAGATCGTTTTTTAGCTGCTGCTCTGTCGGTCTTCTGACTCTTTGGTGCAAAAGATAGTAAACTTTAATTTCAGTGGTGCGTTCAGGTGCAGGTGGAAAGGTTAAGTGTTGCATTCAGTGTTGGAGGTATTGTGTTATTCTGTAGCTACTCTGAGTAATCAGATTACTTCTTGTTGTAAACTTCACTCTCAACCTGTGTTTGAATGAACGTCACTTTGGACTGACATGTAACTGAGAGTCTGATCTAATCTGTGTTTTTATCCTTCGATCACACAGTTCCAGATTTAAATCCAAATATTGACCATTTTAGGCTGTTACATAGTCAGAGTTGTTGTTCGGCAGCTTGTGTTTAGATGTAATGTCTTTGGGGAAATATATTTCTTAAAACAAGTTCTAGTAGAACTGAAGAATGTAAAACAATGCCCAGCCCTGTTCATCGTCCTTCTTTCAAGTATTTATTTAGGTGACACATTTAAGGAGAAAATTTATTTTACATGACAAACATAAAAAGCGGGTCAAAGGTGAGAGGCCATAGCACCTGAAACAGTAGAAGTAGCTTTACAGAGATAGATTTAAACAATAAAAGAGTTGACAGAAAGATTTCTTCAAGTGGATGTTCTTGAATTTCAAAGCACAGCTGCACTTTGTGGGATGATTGTTTACTTTTCTGTGTGCTTCTTGCACACATAACATTTTAAAAGCTGTTTAGCACTTTAGTAGCTTAACAGATGTCTTTGATAGTATACCAACTTACTAGCTTTGGTTCTGTTTTACTCTATTACTATTTTTTATGACATTTTTGCTTTGTTTCTCACTACAATATCTTACAAAAAGCACTTTGCATTGCAAATCTTTGCTTAAAGGCTGCTGTATAAGAAGAAGAAAGAGCCTATTTTGATTTTGCTAGGGTTAGCTTTGGTGTGCAGCAGAGTGTGAGCCTCGAACTATTAAGTTAAGTTGTTATTTTTATGGGGGGGGAAGAAGTTGACATCAGCAGGTTATTAAAGTCTGCAGCTAATGTAAGAAAACAGGAAATACCACAGAGCAGGAAGTAAACAGGAAGAAAGAGGTTGCTTTTCATTTTTATCTTAAAACTGCGGGGATGCAGAGAGCGATGACGGCGTGCACCAAATGTTTCTCTCCACCGGGAGAGAACAGCTCCTCTGCTGGACAGGTAGGGAAGAGCGCACACACACACACACACACACACACACACACACACAGTAAATGAGTCTGTCAGTGTAGTTTGTATATCTCTGTGCTGTGTGTGTGTCTTGGTTTGATGGGATTAGCATGTAATCTTAAAAGCCTTTTGTTGTGCTGAAGGACTCAATGAGACAGATTAGCTGTGTGTGTGTGTGTGTGTGTGTGTGTGTGTGTTGTTGCCTACACATTCAGCTGCAAACGAGGAAATGTGGTAACGCTTTGCGTGTATGTGGAGTTAACGTCTCAATATCCTGTTTGTGTCCTTCTTTCTTCCTCTCTGCTAGTTGTTCTGGTTTTTAGGATCATGAATGCTGAATGAGTGCAGGCAGGAGAACATTAGTGGTTAGACAATTAGTCGATCAATAGATCAGCAGGAAATTAATTACATCATTTGATAATTGACTAAACCTTCATCAAGCAAATGCTGAAGAAGTTACTTGTTCGGAGAATACAAGACATTTGAGGATAACATCGTGAGTCCTGTGACATTTTCTAAACTAATTGGTGGATTGAAAAATACAGTCAAGAAATGAATTGTGAAAATAGTTTTTTTGTAACAAACTGGTTTAATCAGCAGTTAACTGAGCAGAAAATGTATCGAAATGTTATTCTGGTAAATAACAAAAAAAGTCTCCAGCTCCTTGAATGTGAGGAGGATTTTTACTTGTTTTTTGTTTTATATCATAAATTCAATATCTTTTTCCTTTTGGACTGTTGGTCACACAATTTACTAATTTATTAATTGAAAAAAGAAAGTACTTGATAAAAGAAAAGTAATGAAAGCTTAGTTTCAGCTTTAACTGTTTTCACTTCATCTCTGTTCAAACCAACTTGCTGCAGATATATTAAGCATCAACATGGACTTAATACATTTTTAATGGATATTTATCATTTGGTGTCGCGCCAGCAGCTCTACTACACAACTTTTCTCCCATCCTAGGATCCTGTAGTAGTGTAATATCTTACAATCTATATGAGCGATGGAAGAGTGTGTTTCCTGCCACCTTACGGTGTCAAAGTTGACAGATAATGTTGCCAGTTTCAGATCCAAACTCATGGAGAAAAATAAGTGCTTTCTGGAGCTTTCAACAGTCGCTTTGGCCCAAGCTAAGCGCTTAACTGCTATGAGCCTCCTCAACCAAGGGTCCCGACATCAGCACCCACATCCCGCCCGGCTGACTGCACCAAGTCTGGCTTTTATAATGAACGCAAATGGAAAAAAGACAAACTCTAGGTCTCATACGAAATCTTAAGCGACTGCTTAAACCTTTACCAAAGTGCTGTTAAGTCGGCTAAGGTTCAATATTATGCTGGACTAATTTACAATAATGCCCATAGACCTAATATACTGCTCAAAACTATCAAACCCTTCCTAACTCTGGCCGCTGCTGCTACCTCTGCTCCTTCTACTGAAAACTGTGAGGAGTTTAGGAACTTTTTTATTGACAAAATTACTACTCTCAGACTCAGACCCCCTAGAGACCAAGCATTTTACCACCTGTGCCATCTTCCCAGCTGCTGGAGGTGATCATGCATATGAATCCAACCTACTGTCCCGTAGACATTATTCCGTCATGCCTATTCAAGGAAGTTTTTGACACAATTCGCCCTCTTATTCGGCGACAATTAACAATTCCTTAACCAAGGGCATTGTCCGCTCCAGTTTTAAACATGCAATTATGCAACCCCTTTTAAAGAAACCCAGCCTAGACTCTAGTGATCCCAACAACTATAGGCCCATCTCCAAGCTACCATTTTTTTTTTAGAAAAAGTTGTCCTCCAGGTCTCCTGAACACATTTAACATCTGCGACAAATTCCAGTCCGGTTTTAGAGCACTTCATAGTACTGAATCTGCCCTGCTAAAGGTGCTCCGGCTTCCTGCCACTGTCCAAAGACATGTAGTGACCCTAAATTGTCCTTAGGTGTGAGTGTGAGTGTACGCGCTAGTGTTTATTGTGTATTTTGATACACAGTGGTATATACTCTTTGTTCTTTTGTTTGTTCATACTTGCATTTGTGTGCATTGTGTTCTTGGAAAGCACTTTGGGTCAACTCCAGTTGTTTTTAAATGTGCTATATAAATAAAGCTGACTGACAATTTGACAACATCAGGTGTTAACGCCGATGTGCAGCGACCATTTTCTCGATAGTCTCCTTGTTGTCCTTGATTGGGGTTGCAGTAGCT